AGTCTCTCACCACTTTGATGACGTCTCAAAGTGGATTCTACGCTACCGGTCCCATGTGGAACAACTGGCCAATGTGAACTGGTAATTCTTTTGAATTATCTTTGACCAAGCCATTGATGGAAAAATTGATTGCCAGTGGAAAGTAATAAGTATTTTCAAGTACAGCCATGGCAAAGTCACGATCTCTTATCACCACAGTCAAGAAGTACATGTGACGTGGTCAGAGATAGGTGAGACCGACGTTGCAGAAACATGTGATTGGCTTTTTGCAACAATAATGCTTATGCCGTACGTCTATAAGCAGTAATAAGTAACATGACTGCGTCCACAGTATCGGTATATTTCTGACCACGAGTCATTCAGTGTTGAACTAAAAATCCAGTGCATAGTGTTTGATCTTGACTGTTTTCGTATGTTGCACTTTCTGACAAAACAGGCCTGACAGAAAGTGGACAGGTTTATACAAGATTAGAATTGTTTTTCATGTATCTCAAATCAGATAGTCAGGGATATACTTTTATCCATTAAAGAATCTTGTAATTGACGGGTCTTTTGATTTTTGGTTGCAAAGGTAGACTGTCATTCAAGCAGTAGATTATAACCGATCAAGAGGAACCGCTTTGGTATTACTAATAAAACTGTTTGTACTCTGTGATTGTGACAGTGGCCTGGTGTTTTACGGATATTGGTTGTGATACAGAAGGGAGTAGTAAAAACATGGAAAGATCCCAAGATGTTATTGGGTATCTCAGGTGACGTAGTGAGAAACATGATGGCACCTTATCTGGGTAAGGGGACATACATTATATAACGATAACTGGTACACAAGCCATTACTCAGTGAATGTCATGTGATACGAAAGGTGAACAAGACAGTGTGTGTGGCCACAGTTGCATTCTAATCGGAACATATGCCCAGGCTCAACGCAAGTGTTCGTCTTGGTGATGATGTGCAGGTGTTTACTGCCAATGAATTCATGGCATCGGTGGCATGACAAACGAGATTCACATTGTGACAACCATTCACCGTAATGAAATGCAGACAGTTGGCAAGTATGATCGAGTGAAATGAGTGACTAGTAATGTTCCCCCCCCCCCCCCCCCCCCCCCCCCCCCCCCCCCCCCCCCCCCCCTACAATATTTTTTGTGTTTTTATAACGTAATTGCGATAACGAGGTCAGTGATTGATTATACACAAATATGCGACTTGGTTGACAAAGTGTGACATGCAGATTGCGTTTTGTTGACTGATGTGTTCGTAAGAGTTACAAGTTAGTAGCATGAAACTTTTTCTTCCATCTCGTATATGAGACATTTCAAGCTCAATGCATATAATAGATAGTACCAAATAAAGACTGGTAAAAGCCACGAGTTTAAGATATGGTGAATTTTGTTTCTCTGTTGTCAGTCAACTCATAATGAAGTACCAGGTAAAACAACTACAATAAACAAGGTCCCGAATTCCTCAGGATATACCCAAGCGTTTTATGAGGAGACGAAGGTGATGCTTTTCATAATACAGCTCTCCTTCAACTCAAAAGAAATTTGGCTCAGTAGAGAGATGCATTGTCGTGTGCACAAGCAACACGACGGCCAACAAAGAACAAGACATCGGTTTATGTGTGAGAAGAATGTAAGGTGCCTTATGTGCATGGTGGCCTTGTTTCAAGGAGATTGCCACAAAACTCCTGCAATTCTAAACCTGTCCTAGTGATTGGTAAATATGTAAATATGATGATTAGAACATTGTGTATGTTATACAATATTTGTGCATGTTTATTGTAATAAAACAACAGTGGTCAGTGGCGTAAACAATATGATAATAATTTAGATGACGGTTATTGTAGTAATACGCAGTGTTTTTTTTTTTTTTTTTTTGTTTTGTTTCAGTCCAACAAGTCGGCGTCTCCCACCGAGGCACGGGTTGACCCAAAAAAGAAATGTCAAATCCCCAAGAAGAAAATACTTTCATCATCTGATTCCAACACTTTCACCCACCACCGCACATTATCTCGCACTGTTTTTGCAGAGGCTGCTCAGAATACAACAGTCTTAGAAGCATACACATTTAAAGATAAAACAACATATCCCTCAAAACTGGGTCAAGATCCCAAACCCCCCTCTTAAAGTGCAGGCATCTGTACTTCCCATTTCCCGGACTTCAAGTCCGACTATATGAAATAACCGGTGGTTTCCCTGAATCCCTTCACTAAATATTACCCTGCCACAACTCCAAGCAGATCGTCATGGTCCCAAGTACCATTCGTGTCTCCATTTCACTCCTATCTAACACGCTCACGCTCGCTTGCTGGAAGTCCAAGCCTTGACCCACAAAAGCCTCCTTTACCCCCTCTCTCCAACCCTTTCGAGGACAGACCCTACCCCGCGCTCGTTCCTTTCCCCTATAGATTTTATGCCCTTTCCATGTCATTCTACTTTGATCCATTCTCTCGAGAATGACAAAACCACCTCCAACAACCCTCTCTTCTGCCCTCTGTACTAATACTTTTATTTAACTCCACACGCTTCTCCTAATTTCGCCACAACTCCGAATTTTTCTGGATAGATATTTACACCACACATTGCCCTTGTAAACAGGACATCTCCACTGCCCCTCCAGACTCGTCTCCTCGCTGCTGCATTTACCACCACCCAAGCTTTCACACCCATATAAGCGTGGTTTGGTACTACTATACTTTTTTAACTCATACATTCCCTTCTTTGCTGCTCCATAGATACGTTTTTTTTTTTGCCACTCCGATATACCTTCAACGAACACTCTCCTTTTTTCCCTTCATCAATTCTATGATTAACCTCATCTTACATAAATCCATCCGCCGACACTAGTCATACTCCCAAGTATCTGAAAACATTCACTTCTTCCATACTCCTCTTGTTAAAGAGTAGAGAGTTACATCTTACTCCCCAATGTTGATATCAATTTTTGACTTTTATCTAAATAATTTGACGCACCCTCATCACCTTACTCTTTCTTCGTTCACTTTCAATTGCCTTGAGCCTTTACCACACATTCCCAAAAAACCATCCACTAGCACTTATGCGCAATTTTTCTTTAGATCTCTATATCAGACACAGGGTTCTTGTTTGATTCATCAGCGCAAAAATGAAAGGGGTGGCTCACAGTTGGCTCCAACTTCATCCTGTTTCCTACTTGTATGTCTCATAACAATAAAAATGCTTTCAAATGAGCTGATGTAGGTAACAGCTCTTAGCTTGCCAATAAAGTTAGGACATCCTTAACCTTTTAAATAGCTGTCAATAAAGCTAGGGATCCTTAACCTTGTCAAACCCTGTGTAAAAAAAAAAAAAAAAAAAAGAGGGGAGAGAGAGAGAGAGAGAGAGAGAGAAGAGAGGGAAAGAGAGAGAGAGAAAGAGAGGGGGAGGAGAAAGAAAGAGAGAGAGAGAGAGAAAGAGAGAGAGAAAGAGAGAGAAAGAGAGAGAGAAAGAGAGAGAGAAAGGAGGGGGAGAAAGAAGAGAGGAATTTAGAGAGAGGGGAGAGAGGAGGAAAAGGGGAGGAGAAGAGGAGAGAGAGAGAGAGAGAGAGAGAGAGAGAGAGAGAGAGAGAGGGGGAGAGAAAGGAGACAGAGACAGAGACAGAGAGAGAGACAGAGAGAGACAGAGAGAGACAGAGAGAGAGACAGAGAGAGAGAGACAGGAGAGAGACAGAGAGAGACAGAGACAGAGAGAGACGGGAGACAGAGAGAGACAGAGAGAGAGGAGAAAACAGAGAGAGAGAGAGACAGAGAGAGAGAGAGACAGAGAGAGAGAGAGACAGAGAGAGAGACAGAGAGACAGAGACAGAGAGACAGAGACAGACAGGCAGACAGACAGGACAGATAGAGACAGACAGAGACAGCTAGAGCTAGAACCAGAGAGCTAGAACCAGAGAGCTAGAACCAGAGAGCTAGAACCAGAGAGCTAGAACCAGAGAGCTAGAGCCAGAGAGCTAGAGCTTGAGCCAGAGAGAACCAGAGAGAAAGAGCCAGAGAGAGAAAGAGCCAGAGAGAGAAAGATCCAGAGAGAGAAAGATCCAGAGTGAGAAAGATCCAGCGAGAATAAGATCCAGAGAAAGATCCAGAGAGAGAACGATCCAGAGAGAACAATCCAGAGAGAGAACGATCCAGAGAGAGAACGATCCAGAGAGAGAACGATCCAGAGAGAGAAAGATCCAGAGAGAGAACGATCCAGAGAGAGAAAGATCCAGAGAGAGAAAGATCCAGAGAAAGATCCAGAGAGAGAAAGATCCAGAGAAAGATCCAGAGAGAGAAAGATCCAGAGAGAGCCAGAGTTAGCCAACCATTCAGTCAAACACATTTACACATGTTGCAGAATCCTTCCCCCCTCCCTCTCTCTCCCTCTTTCTCTATTAACTCAGAGCAGAAGTGATAGGACATTCTGGCAGGATCAAAACTGAAAGGATGTGGCACAAATGTTGAACATGGGTTATTATCGTTTTTTTTTTTTTTTATATTTCCTTGACCACTTGTGACCACATCAGTCTCAAAGCCACTAAACTAGGGGTCAACATAACTTTCCTTGAAAAAAAGTGTGTTAATACAAGACATTAGTGAATCCCTGGGGTTTGCCATGGTGTTTGCTATAGCTGGTGCTCAACTGAACTGGTGCTCCCACAAGGTACCAAGTGGTCCCAGATGTTTTAAATACGTACTGCACACACTGAGTGTTAAGATCCATTTTATAATGCCTACACCTATCAGACCTCTGGTGTCAAATTTGAATGCAGGAAAAACAGTGCGTTGATCAACCTCTGGAGCACTAGCAGTAATGCATAGATCAACAGTCTGACAGTTAAAGGGTTAAATTAAGGATTTACTGTATTTACATTCAAGAAGTCTGGTTTAATCAAATATGCAAAATAAATTACTTTCAGTTCTCTTTCATTGCAATACTGTATCAACAATTATTATTTAATTTGGATAAAGAAAATAAATTACTAAAAATTTAAAAACTGAGACTTACGCTTTTCCAGTTCCTCTCCTCTTCTCCATTCTTCATATTTTGCAGCATAGGTTTTATTAATTTGTAATGTTTCTTCTTCTCCATCAGAGCCATCATCAAATAGATTATTTTTCTGAGACATTCTTCAGACACACATTTGTTTACAAAACTGAAAAATTGAGCACAGACATAACAGATTCCAAAAATAATGCAAATTACAAAGAAAGCCTGATAACAATGGAAATTTATTTGTTTGTTGGAGGAGAGGAGAAAAGAGGCAATATATTAACAGAACGTATTTTCTTAAAAATAATACGAGAAAACAGGAAATTTGGGAGAAACCAGCAAAAGAGAAAGCACTGAGATGACAATTTTAAAAGGTTCAAAAATGGAACATTTGGAAGCATGCGAATCTCCTATGCTACAAAGAACCTATGCCAAGTTCTTCAACTCTCCACTAGACCTAAAAAAAAATCTACTAGCTATGCCTCATGTAGCATCAGAAGTGAGTGTGACAGCTGATCCTGAAAAAAAAAAAAAGTTCTCTCCCAAAAAGATCAGAGCTCTGCTCATGAGGACATAAGCTGATTTAGACATTCAATAAAGAAACTGAGCAAGTGCTTGCCTGTTATCTGGCCAACATTTGATGGCCAGATGATCAGTGATCTGAATGAGCTACTGCTAAGTGAATGACAAATTCACTTTAGCTCACATAATAGGTAAATTGATGAGATATTAATCCCATGAAATCTGACTTTATATCTTCAAAGTAGATACCCAAACATTGATGAGGCATGCATCATCAAGACATTTTTGGGGGCCCCATTCCAAAAAATTTATCAAATTTGAACACTAAAACCAAAGCTTGCAATCTAAAACTGAAGGATATCATTCCCTCCCATTTCCCAAGACAGGATAGGAATGTCAATGGTACGAGAGAAGCCACAAAATTTAAACCTAGTGTTTTAGATTCCATCTGAAAACGAGTAGTGGGTGACTTGAGACTAAACTGCTTGCATGGCAATCAATCATGACTTAAGATTTGTATGTCTTTTGCGTGCAAACTAGTTAAAGTAGGGACTGTGTGTGGGTGAGATTTGGTGAAATTATGCCAACTACTGGCTCTTGGATATTGTTTCAATGACTGAATCATCACAATTTTTTTTCCTGAGTTTGGGATGACTAGGCAATACTAGAAAAATCCATAAGGATGTCTTTAAGCCAAAAGGCATAACCCCCAACTGGAGGTTTACTCCTACTATTTGTGAAAGTCATGATAATTTTATGCTTTGTAAAAATCCACATAATAGCTCTAACTCAGCTGACTATGGTTTTCCTGATAAGCTTACTCAATGGCATATGGTCCTTGAAGCCCTTTTGGATTACAGCATGCAGGTGTTCCCTTCACTTTATGCAAGATGCATTCATGGATGGTGGCACAAAGTGAACCCATTATAACATGCAAAGAATGGGATTTCTTCTGAGATTTTGCAGATTCCACAGTTCTTAACTTATGTTTCACCAAAAGATATAAGCTTTCCACACATGTACCAAATATTCACATTAAAAAATAAATAAAACTGATATAAAAAATATCAATCACATCCCCTCTACCTTACAAAACTGGGAAATAAAATTCCACCTTTCTTTACTACAGTAATTTCTACCAAAAAATGTATAAGCAAACCACATAGGCACCAAATGTACTAGAATGCACAATTTTTTGTCTTCCAATACATTACCTGCCAGTATTTTTGACCTTAGCTTAACATTTGGGTCTCCTACAACCCATCCATGCCTTTGAAAAAAAATCTAAGACCAGGCTAGTCTTTGCAGTGTATCATTGGTAACACTGTTTAATTAGCATAAGTAAACAATGAAACCAGGATCTGTTGTTCCACCACCAGCTTCTCTTCCAGCAAACAGGGTGTGGAACTAACAGAAAGATGCCTTATTCATTCCAAATTAACTACAACTTCATGACACAAACAGTGGCATTCAGGCAAAAATTACACAATAAGATTTAGCCTAAGATATGTAATCCAATGTGATCAAGCAATGTGCATTTCCAAGTGTTAGTGACTATTATATGTACTTTGAAACAATTGTAATACGTATCATGAAATTTCCTTGTAAATATGCTTCATAGTAGTCTTCAAGGTACACATAAAAATTATAATGTTTATTTAACCCCAGATATTCCCTCAAGCCTAAATATAATAATTAACCCAGGATAATCCAAGAACGTCATACAATTTGATGTACATATCTCGATACTTAGAGGAGCATTACACCTTGAAACAATTGTAATAAGAACAGTGGTACCTCAAGTTTTGGACAGCTCTCAACTTGAACAATTATGTAAGTGTATTTTTGTAAGTGATTTTGTAAGTGTATTTTTGGGGGTCTGAAACGGACTATTCTAATTTATATTATTCCTCATGGAACAAATTCGTTCGGTATCGGCACTCGAACAGCCTTCTGGAACAAATTAAGTTCGAAACTCAAGGTACCACTGTATTCCATATTTGCACCTACTTATACTGAATGTGTAGCAAGTGGAGTAATGTCGGGCTATGCATTTTCCTAGGATTGAAACAGTGAAACACATCTAAGTAAAAGGACACAAGTGCAAGTGGTGCCACAATAAAGTGTCACATTAGTTGCACTTTTGTCCTTTTACCTAACATATTGTTGGTAATTCTACCAACTAGTGTACTTATGATGCATATCTAAAACATATAATGTCATAAATTAACATTAAAACAAATACTGCCGATGCATTTATGCTGCTGTTGCCAACTCACAGGAAATTTTATTTCTGGGTATGTCACAGTTTAAGGGCTCAGAGGGCGAGTTCAAGGTCACTAGTTGTGTGCATAAACAAAAATGTTTGAAAAACTTAATATTAAGAGGTTAGCAATAGGGAAATTAAGGAATATTGTATAACAATGGTGAATGTGAATGGAAAAAAATATTCCAGTAAGAGAATGCAATTATTAACCCTTAAACGGTCCAAACGTATATATACGTTCACGTGTGTAGCGCCCCGAATATTTTGAAAATTTTTTTTTATAGGAAAAGAGAGATTTGGTAGCCAGGCGTCCCCAATTTTTTTCATATGGCGCACACTGAGTGTGCACACCCATTCTCTCATGTCTAGGTGACTCAAGCCTATTGTGCCAATGTTGAAAGAATGACAAAGGAAACGCATACATACGTTTGGGGCGCTACGCGAGAGAACGTATATATACGTTTGGACCGTTTAAGGGTTAGAGATTGAGTTTTAAATTATTTGAACATTAACAGTAGTGATCGAGTATCAAAGTCATATGATGTAAAAATTATCGACAAGTGACAAACGGTGCAATTAATGTGATTGGTGCAATAAGAAGCAATGATAGCTACCTGGCAAAGGAGTCCAGTACTAATTTAAATATAAGAAAACAACTCTAGATATAAAAATATAACAACTGTATATAAAAATAGTAGTAAAATAATAAAACACTGTAGAGATCTATTAAACAATGCAAGAAATTATGGATAAGTGATCATTTTCAAAAGAATGATACAAGGAGAATTCCTGGCAGCTTCTTAGCAAAGGAATAAACAAAATTAATTAAGCTTATTTGTAACATTTCTGTCAAAAACTAAAATTTTATGTTAACTATGATTATCACATAAAAGGCCATGGACAGCTCAATAACTTAAGTTTCCTCTGCAGATCAAGGTTAGAAGTAAAAGATAAGTATCTATACATATAAAATTTAAAAAAGCATTCATGTTTAGTAGAAACTTTTTTTTTTTTTTTACACAAATCAATTTTACAGGCAAAGAGCTGTTATACTACCTGAACTCATTTTAAAGCTCATTACTATCTAAGGTATACTGCCACCCCCCCCCCCAGGATGCAACCCACAACGAGGACTAACCCAGATACCTACTTACTGCTAGGTGACTCAAGAAATCGTAATGACACGATTGCAAACAAACCATACCCCCGGCCGGGATTGAACCTGCGGTCAGAGAGTCTCAAAACTCCAGCCCGTCGCGTTAGCCATTAGACCAGCTAGCCACAATAAGATTCATCCAACTAGGTATATTTCTACACCATAGGAAGGTTAGCACAGGCACCACAGTGAAGGCAGTGAAGGGACTTGAGCTAGAGTTCATCACGGCCACGCTAGCTGGAGATTCCTCTGTAAAAACTTGCATTTGTGGTCACAGTGGTGCCTGTGCTAACCTTCCTATGGTGTAGAAATATACCTAGTTGGATGAATCTTATTGTGGCTAGCTGGTCTAGTGGCTAACGCGACGGGCTGGACTTTTGAGACTCTCTGACCGCGGGTTCAATCCCGGCCGGGGGTATGGTTTGTTTGCAATCGTGTCATTACGATTTCTTGAGTCATGTTGACGGCAGTGAAGGGACTTGAGCTAGAGTTCGTCACGGCCACGCTAGCTGGAGATTCCTCTGTAAAAACTTGCATTTGTGGTCACAGTGGTGCCTGTGCTAACCTTCCTATGGTGTAGAAATATACCTAGTTGGATGAATCTTATTGTGGCTAGCTGGTCTAGTGGCTAACGCGACGGGCTGGAGTTTTGAGACTCTATGACCGCGGGTTCAATCCCGGCCGGGGGTATGGTTTACTGCTAGGTGAATAGGAATAGCAGGTGTAAGGAAACATGCCCAGTGCTTCCATCCATGCTGGGATCAATCCACAGACACTGTGTATGCGAGATGGGCAAGTAAGCGTATTTAGGTACAGGTACATAAAAGTAAAGTTATCTACCTATTAACATATGTATAAATTACCTAGTATAACTTGCTGTTATACCTACATTAAAGGTTGTCATTATTAACATCGAAGAAAATGCCACAAAACCAAAAAGGGTCATACAAACATTTGATTAAAGCATTTCTTGCCTTCTTCCTGAGGATAGCTACAATTTACCCTTGGCTTGGTAAGCGATGCTCTTGCCTCACACACTGAGTGTCTGGGGTTCAATTCCCAGTTGGGCAGAAACATTGGTTGTGTTTCCTTACACCTGCTGTCCCTATTCACCTAGCAGTAAGTAGGTACCTGGGTGACTCAATTAACAGCCTGCTGTCCTGTTCACCTAGAAGTAGTTAGGTACCTGGGTGTTAGTTACCTTATACCTGCAGTCCCTGTCCACCTAGCAGGAAGCAGGTATCTGGGTGCTAGATGACTGGGGGGACAAGACTGAAGGTCCACAATGTAAATAAGACAGTCCTTGATGATGCACTGACTTTCTTAGGCTATCCTGGGATGCTAACCCTTCCTACCCTGGGATGCTATCCCTCCCAACCCTGGGATGCTAACCCTTCCTACCCTGGGATGCTATCCCTCCCAACCCTGGGATGCTAACCCTTCCTACCTTGGGTTGCTAACCCCCTCTACCCTAGGATGCTAACCTTTCCTACCTTGGGATGCTAGCCCTCCCTACCCTGGGTTGCTAACCCTATCATGGGATGCTAACCCTCTCTACCCTGGGTTGTAAAGTAAAAGGACACAAGTGCAACTGATGTGACATTTTATTGTGGCAACGTTTCGCTCTCTGATAAAGTTCCTGGAGAGCGAAACGTTGCCACAATAAAATGTCACATTAGTTGCACTTGTGTCCTTTTACTTTACGGTGTATGGTTGTTCTTGCTGAGGGTTCTAGGGGCCCTTTGCGGAGTCCTTACTCTTCTTGTGTTCCTTCAACTGATATTTTCCCTCTCTTCCTTCTTTAAGCGCTTCGACTACGAGGTTATTAGCACCAGGAAACTATCAGCTGGAACTCTGCAGCCACGAGCTAACTCAGTAGGTCAGCCATCATTTACAAGAACAACAACAACCAGACATAAGCGAATAAAGATGCGTCTACACACACCACCACTACTACTACTACTACAATAATAATAATAATAATAATAATAATAATAATAATAATAATAATAATAACAATAACAATAACAATAATAATAATAATAATAATAATAATAATAATAATAATAATAATAATAACAATAATAATAATAATAATAATAATAATAATAATATAATAATAATAATAATAATAACAATAACAATAATAATAATAATAATAATAATAATATAATAATAATAATAATAATAAATAATAATAATAAAAATAATAATAGTAATAATAACAATAACAATAACAATAACAATAACAATAACAATAATAATAATAATAATAATAATAACAATAATATAATAATAATAATAATAATAATAGTAATAATAATAATAATAATAATAATAATAATAATAATAACAATAACAATAACAATAATAATAATAATAATAATAATAATAATACTTTATATTATTATGATACAATGTTTGTACAAAGGTGAATAACATTTAGGTGTGCACGCAGAACGCCCCTTAATATGAGAGCATTTCGGACAAACTTATGATTAAAAAGGGAATGACAATTTCTGTAATTTTATACACACAACACTCACGTGCGTGTAAGTATAAATTTAGGAGTTACAATGAATACAAGATAACTGAATATCCTATTAGTTCATGCTATATGGCATATGTGTAGAGAACCTAGCATAACCCAAAAAAGTCAGACAACGTGTAAGTAAGTAAGCCCTTGGGGTCTTTGTGGTAAGTATTATTTATATTTAAAAGTTAAAAACAGATAAGTATCTTAACTATGTAAAAACAGTTACAATAAAAGATGTACTAAGGGAGAGGTAAAATTAGGTATTTTTATACAAGAAATCACTCTCCCTTTCTGTATTATTATTATTATTATAATCAAGGGGGAAGCGCTAAACCCGGAGGATTATACAGCGCCTGGGGGGGGGGGGATGTGGAAGGCATTCAGGCTTAATTCGGGGAACTGGAGCACAGATCCAATTCCCTAAATCAAGAGCCCCTCACCAACATCAAGGAACCTTCCTTGAGGGGTCCCTTTCTGTAGCTTTATTCACAAGGTACATTGTGGCTCTCTTGAATAAGTAAGTTTATTCAGGTATACACAAATACAGTTACAGAGATTGTCATACATACCAGCATATGTGTCAAGTACCTAGGATAACCCCCCAAAAAGTCAGAATGACTTATTTCCATTAGGGTCCGTTTACCTTATTATTATTATAATATAAAGGTTATAATATCTTATTATTATTCTATAATGGAGATAACATCTTCCCAGATTTTTTACTGAGGAAACTGAGTGATGGGCTCCCCATTACACTGAACATTAAAATTATTTACCCTTCTCAGTTTATGTTTCGTGCCAAAGAGAATGGCTTCAGTTTTCCCGAGGTGTAGTGACAGTTTGTTATTTACTAACCATTTGCTGCAGGACTCCAGTTCCAGTGTTAATACATTAGCTATATATTGTGGGTCTTTACCTGACACTAACAGAGCACTGTCATCTGCATACAGTAGGAGTTTGCACTTGACACTGAATGGCGTGTCGTTAACATAGCATAGGAATAATAAGGGACGCAGAATACTACCTTGGAGAACTCCACATGTTATCGGCAGGGGTTCTTATTCCGTTTTGTTAATTTTGACAATTTGTCCCCTGTTGCTAAGGTAGGACATAAACCGATACCTGGAGTTTACCTGGAGAGAGTTCCGGAGGTCAACGCCCCCGCAGCCCGGTCTGTGACCAGGCCTCCTGGTGGATCAGAGCCTGATCAACCAGGCTGTTACTGTTGGCTGCACGCAAACCAACGTACGAGCCACAGCCCGGCTGGTCAGGAACCGACTTTAGGTGCTTGTCCAGTGCCAGCTTGAAGACTGCCAGGGGTCTGTTGGTAATCCCCCTTATGTATGCTGGGAGGCAGTTGAACAGTCTCGGGCCCCTGACACTTATTGTATGGTCTCTTAACGTGCTAGTGACACCCCTGCTTTTCATTGGGGGGATGTTGCATCGTCTGCCAAGTCTTTTGCTTTCGTACTGAGTGATTTTCGTGTGCAAGTTCGGTACTAGTCCCTCTAGGCCCGGTGGCCTGGTGGCTAAAGCTCCCGCTTCACACACGGAGGGCCCGGGTTCGATTCCCGGCGGGTGGAAACATTTCGACACGTTTCCTTACACCTGTTGTCCTGTTCACCTAGCAGCAAATAGGTACCTGGGTGTTAGTCGACTGGTGTGGGTCGCATCCTGGGGGACAAGATTAAGGACCCCAATGGAAATAAGTTAGACAGTCCTCGATGACGCACTGACTTTCTTGGGTTATCCTGGGTGGCTAACCCTCCGGGGTTAAAAATCCGAACGAAATCTTATCTTATCTTATCTAGGATTTCCAGGTGTATATAATCATGTGTCTCACCCGCCTGCGTTCGAGGGAATACAGGTTCAGGAACCTCAAGCGCTCCCAGTAATTGAGGTGTTTTATCTCCGTTATGCGCGCCGTGAAGGTTCTCTGTACATTTTCTAGGTCAGCAATTTCACCTGCCTTGAAAGGTGCTGTTAGTGTGCAGCAATATTCCAGCCTAGATAGAACAAGTGACCTAAAGAGTGTCATCATGGGCTTGGCATCCCTAGTTTTGAAGGTTCTCATTATCCATCCTGTCATTTTTCTAGCAGATGCGATTGATACAATGTTATGGTCCTTGAAGGTGAGATCCTCCGACATGATCACTCCCAGGTCTTTGACGTTGGTGTTTCGCTCTATTTTGTGGCCAGAATTTGTTTTGTACTCTGATGACGATTTAATTTCCTCGTGTTTGCCATATCTGAGTAATTGAAATTTCTCATCGTTAAACTTCATATTGTTTTCTGCAGCCCATTGAAAGATTTGGTTGATGTCCGCCTGGAGCCTTGCAGTGTCTACAATGGAAGACACTGTCATGCAGATTCGGGTGTCATCTGCAAAGGAAGACACGGTGCTGTGGCTGACATCCTTGTCTATGTCAGATATGAGGATGAGGAACAAGATGGGAGCTACTGTGCCTTGTGGAACAGAGCTTTTCACCGTAGCTGCCTCGGACTTTACTCTGTTGACTACTACTCTCTGTGTTCTGTTAGTGAGGAAATTATAGATCCATCGACCGACTTTTCCCGTTATTCCTTTAACACGCATTTTGTGTGCTATTACGCCATGGTCACACTTGTCGAAGACTTTTGCAAAGTCTGTATATATTACATCTGCATTCTTTTTGTCTTCTAGTGCATCTAGGACCTTGTCGTAGTGATCCAATAGTTGAGACAGACAGGAGCGATAGCTTGAAGTTTCTTACATAATATACTATGGTTGACAGTATCGAAGGCCTTTTGCAGGTCTAAGGTTACCATACCTATGAGGTTCCCATTGACATTTCAGTTCTCAAGTAATCCATCAGATTAATTAGGGAGGTGTCAGTTAAGTGAGATCTTCTAAATCCTGATTGATAGCTATGGAGAATGTTGTTGTCATTAAGGTACTTAAATACTTGACAGTACACCTCCCTCTCTAACAGGCCTATAGTTGCTTACATCAGACCTACTATACTTCTTGAAGAGAGGAGTAACTCTGGCCTCTTTGAACCTCTCCGGTACGGTATTCAAATTCAAATTCAAAGTTTATTCTCTAAGGATTACAATGCTGAGTTTACAGAATTTGGTTATTGTGTGGTTTACATGTAGTAAAGTACTAATTAGTGGAGATGGACAAATTTATTATGTGAGCAATAGGGATTGACAATTCAGAAGGACCATCTTTTAGGAACTTATCCAGGCCAGTGCTCTTAGTTGGGTTTAACCCGCTTAGTTCTTTTTTAATAAAGTCATGAGATACACTTACTAGTTGACAACTGTTTGGGGTTACCCCTTTATTGGTATAGTATGTTTGAAACTTATCAGAGTCTGTGTTAAAGATATTTGATGCAGCTGGTAGTTTACTTACTAGTGTTGATGCACCAGATGTGTAGTAGGAATTAAAGCAATTTGCCACCTTAGATGTTTCATGGCATACCTCGTTATCGATAGTGAGTACTATGTTAGACCTATCTACTGGCTTATGGCTATATCCCAACTGTTTTAGTTGTTGCCAGAGATTTCTGGGGTTATGCTTATACTCTTCATTTTTTGAGCAATAGTGCTTTACCTTTGCTCCTGTTATAAGTCTCTGTACTCTGTTCCTCACCCTTTGGAATTCATTTAGTGCTGCAATATTCTGTCTGTCTGTTTTAAATCTTTTTAGCAACTGATCTCTGAATTTCATATTATCTAATATCTCACAGGCTCTGGTGGCCTGGTGGTTAACGCTCTCGCTTCACACGGTGAGGGCCTGGGTTCGATTCCCAGCCAGAGTAGAAACATTGGACGTGTTTCTTTCCACCTGTTGTCTATGTTCCCCATCAGTAAAATGGGTACCTGGGTGTTAGTCGACTGGTGTGGGTCGCATCCTGGGACACTGACCTAAGGAGGCCTGGTCACAGACCGGGCCGCGGGGGCGTTGACCCCCGGAACTCTCTCCAGGTCCAGGTAATCAGTAGTCATCCAGGGTTCAGTTCTCCATTTAATCTTAACCTCTTTAACTTGTGCAATGTTATCAAGGATGGTAGTGAACATTGTTTTGAATTTTTCCCAGGAATCATTAATGTCCATGCAACTTGTTATCACTGTCCAGTCACAATTGTGTAGCCTATTTACCAGTGTTTCTTTACTGTAGTTTCTAGTTGACCTCATTTTTATTGTCCTGGTGCAGTAAATGATGAAATGATCACTAAGGCCTGTGGTAATGATGCCTGACTGGCTAATGTTCTTAGAGCAGTTACAAAGTACGTAGTCAATTAGGGTGGCTGAGAACTATGTGATCCGGGTTGGTGTATTAATTAGTTGAGTGTAACTATTTAAACCAAGAATTTGCTTATACCTTTTGCATAGCCTGTTATTTTGCTGCTGAAAACAGGTATTGAAGTCTCCCAGTATTACTGTCTCGCAGTTGTTTTCAAGTGCGGACAAGACTCTGGAAAAAGTCTCTAAGAACTGGTCCTGGGTAGGAGGGTGGTAATTAGTTCCTGCTAAGATGGGTTTGGTCTTGGGAAGCAGCACTTCAAACCATAGAATCTCCAGTTTATTGTTATTTAAATCAGGCCTTGGGTTGTAAGCTAAGTCATTTCTAATGTAGGCACATACCCCACCACCTTTTCTGTTCCTATCTAAGTGTTTTATATTGTAACCTTCTATTCTGACCTCGTCAGTCACTGTATCATCCAACCACGATTCAGAGATGAATATAGCTGCTGCCAATTTTGGAAAAAGTGATCTTGCGTTGACATAAATAAAGTGAAGGCCTGTTTTCATAAAACAATTATAATCATCAATATATGGCAATATATAGCATGAACTGGCTCATGCTATCACAGGCTTTGACATGTACAGGCAATCTATTCCACTCTTTTAGTGCTGTACAGAAAAATGTCTTTGAAACCTGACCACTGACTCTAGGTACTGCAAAGTTATTCTCTCTTACCCTAGTTCTATTTTGCTTTGGTTCCTGGCATTAACAAAATTGGCAGTAAGATATTGGGGACACTGGTTGTGAACAATTTTATAAATGTAATTTAGCTTTAGTTGTTTTCAAAATTATTCACAACCAGTGTCCCCAATATCTTACTGCCAATTTTGTTAATGCAGCATAAAAGGGATATCATCCTCAACTTCTACAAATAATAATAATAATAATAATAATAATTCTACAAGGATATATGCAAAGTATTCAGGCCTAGCTGACATCAATGGCATACATAGGTACAGGTACACATACAAATACAATTACACAAATTATTATACATAGTGACATTTGTGTAAATTACCTAGGATAACCCAGAGAAGTTTGTCAAAGTGACTTATTTCCACTGGGGTCCTTGATCCATAAACTCTCTCAACTCCATGAGTATCGTTGTGGCCTACTTGTGTCAGGCCAGACACAGGTATGGTAAGTTTTTTGGACAGTGGAGTCATGGTACAACTGTTTAGTTGTCAGTGGCCTGATTAACCCAAGAAGAAAGAAAGAAACTGGTCTTCAGATGCAGTGAATTGTCAAAGTCATATGCCTTCAAGGAAAGAGTAAATTATAATCCTGAGCTCTCAGTTACCAGTTTGAGAACAATATAATGCGATAAGAGCTCCAGTTGAACTTGAGTGATTTGATACTGAAGAAGATTTACACTAGTCAGTCAGGTTGGTACATCTAGCAAAATAAGTAGACTTGTGTGTTAGTATGACCAGGCTCCAGCTGGCTTACTAGTATATCTGGAAGGCTAATTAATGGTTATACGTTATTTACAGTAGGCAAAGTCAGGGTATTAAGGTTAATTAATGGTTATGTGTTATTTACAGTAGGCAGAGTCAGAGTATTTTGCCAGAACAGTTAGTAATATGCCACTGGATAAGATAAGATTTTGTTCGGATTTTTAACCCCATAGGGTTAACCACCCAAGATAACCTAAGAAAGGCAGTGTGTCATCGAGAGATTGTGTCATATTGCCACTGGGGTCCTTCTCCCCCCAGAATGCGACTCACACCAGTCGACTAACGCCCAGGTACATGCTTGCTAGGTGAATGGAACAACAGGGGTAAGGAAACATACCCAATGCTTCCACCCTTGCCGGGGATCAAGCCACACAGTGTGTGTGTGTGGTGCGAGAATTGCCTACCAGGCAAAGTTTACATATGGTTTGGTCTGTATCATCTGGAGGGGGTGATTTAAATTTTTATTTTTATGAGCTTACCTTGCTAAAATATAAGGTAATATTTTTATGACCTAATTCATGTCTGAATGTCCTAGGTAATATCCAAGTTAATATGCAAGAATAATAATAATACTGTATCTTTATTTTTACAAGTACATGTACAAGGTATACAGGCCTAACAGACAATGCATGATAATTGTAATCACCATTATTTGTATAACTGGACTTCTGAGTACCTGTATCTAAATAAACTTTGTTGGAACTTTATTTTTATTATTTTTTTTATTAACACACTGGCTGTTTCCCACCAAGGCAGGGCAACTTGAAAAAGAAGAATCACTTTTGTCATTACTCGCTCCATTACTGTCTTGCCAGAGGTGCGCTTACACTACAGTTATAAAACTGCAACATTAACACCCCTTCAGAGTGCAGGCACCGTACTTCCCATCACCAGGACTCAAATCCAGCCTGCTTGTTTCCATGAATCCCTTCATAAATGTTACCTTGCTCACACTCCAACAGCATGTCAAGTCATAAAAACCGCTTGTCTCCACCCGCTCCTATCTAACTCACGCACGCTTGCTGGAGGTCCAAGGCCCTTGCACACAAAATTTTTACCCCCCCCCCTCCAACCTTTCCTAGGATGGCCCCCACCCCACCTTCCTTCCACTACAGATTTATACGCTCTCCAACTCATTCTATCTCATTCCATCCTCTCTAAATGTCTGAATGACCTCGACAACCTCTCCTCAGCTTTCTGGACAATACTCCCCTCAAGGGAGGTTCCTTGATGCTGGTGAGGGACTCTTGATCTAGAGAATTGGATCTGTGCTCCAGTTCCCTGAGTTAAGCCTGAATACGTTCCACATCCCCCCCCCCCCAACATGCGCTGTACAATCCTACGGATTTAGCTCTCCCCCCATGATTATAATTATAAATCTGGATGATACTTTTAGTCACCCCACACCTCCTAATTTCCAAACTACAGATTCTCTGCATTATATTCACACCACATATTGCCCTCAGACACGACATCTGCACTGCCTCCAGCCTTCTCCTTGTTGCAACATTCACCACCCATGCTTTACTGTACATATAAGGAATCTCCCATATGAAGATAGACTTATAGCCTTGAATCTTCACTCTCTGGAGAGACGTAGAATGGGGGGAGATATCATTGAAGTGTATAAGTGGATGATGGACATAGAGGTGATAAAAATAAAATACTGAGGATATCAAATCAGGTATGAATGAGAAATAATAGATTTAGGTTAGATAAATTTAGATTTAGAAAGAACAGAGTTGTGGATGTGTGGAACAGTCTTCCGAGCAGGGTAATCGAGGCTAGGACCTTGGATAGCGTTAAAAGGAAATTGGACAAATATAAATAAGAGTGGGAGAGGCTGGGTGTGATTGGTGTCATGGGTACAGGAGTAAATTCTTGGGTAGCTTTGAGTAGTGGTGGTTTTGATAAGGACCTGCCTTGTATGGGCCAGTAGGCCTTCTGCAGTGTTCCTCCATTCGTATGTTGTTATGACTGTTTGTCTCATTTTCATTGGGGTCCTTCAGTCTTATTCCCCAGGATGTAACGAACACCAATCAACTAACACCCAACTAATTTACTGCTAGGTCAACAGGGACAGCAGGTGTAAAGAAACATGCCCATTGTTTTCACCCATGCCACAGATTGAACCATGGACACTTAATGTGAGAGACGGGTGCATCCAATAGTTTGTGTGCTCATCATACCCTTGCATTTGCAGCTTAGAAAAGAGTTGCAATTGTCATTACTAATTTTGTGCATGTTAATGTACAATAATTTTTATAGCATCTTTAGTATTATTTGAGTGAGTTCCTTTTTCTTTATTTTCAGTTAGCAATGAGACCTTGAGATGCTACACTAAACAGCAATTCTTGCATTCATCAAAAGAGACCTTGAAGCACACTGCTTGCATCATAACAGAAGTATCCCACAAAGGGAAAGTGAAAATAGTAAACAACTTCATTGGGCATATTACGTGGAATTTTTCCCATTAGCATGGTCAGTATTGCATGTTATCCTTCCATTATACCTTGGTAGTGGGCATGATCTCCCTCCTGTAATGTTTTTCTACTATCACAGTGTTTGTTACATTCTTCCATTTTAGGTGTCTTAAATTATATTAAGAAAAATAGAACTGAACAGCCTCTCCTCACTTAGCGATATAGTCATTTACCGATGCCTCAGACTTACAACAGACTCTCTGACCAGTATTCATTCCTAAATCATGTATATTAGAGCTGATTTCCTCTATTCTGTTTATTTCAATATACAGTACACTACTGTATAAACCAGAAATGTTATAAATGGCGCAAAGGTGACATTAAAACAATATCAAAGATGGTTGACACGAACTCACTACCATTACAGCATTCTCCTCACTTAGTGACAAATTCGTTTAACGAGGTAGTCTTAGGAATGGAACTCCATCATTAAGTGAGAAGAGGCTATAATATAACTTGCTAGAGATGATGTACGTACTTGGAAGGCAGCAACCGTCTTCCTTCTTGGATCATCAAGATGTCTGTCTGTCTGTAGACTTTAGGCATATAATTTGCAGGGTGCTTTATTATAATTTTTTTTTTTTTTTTAGGAAAAAGGCTTTCTCATACAGTGGTACCCCGAGTTTCGGCCATAATTCGTTCCAGAAGGCTGTTCGAGTGCCATTACTGAACGAATTTGTTCCCATGAGGAATAATGTAAATTAGGTTAGTCGGTTTCAGACCCCCAAAAATACACTTACAAAAGCACTTACAATAATACACTTACATAATTGTTCGAGTTGGGAGCTGTACAAAACTCGGGGTACCACTGTAATTTTTTTTTTCTAAATTTCATTGAATGAATCTATCATTATATTTCTACAGTTTATCCTGTTGGTTAATCTGTAATTCACTGTTAAAAGTATCTTTTATATTGACTTAATGCAGATTTACATTTACAAAATGTTGATAATGAGAAGGTAGAAACTCTCCTAAAGAGGCCTTTTCTGTAGTTAGTTTAACAATTAAACTGTCATAATTTTTTTCATTGGTTGTGAAACAATTATTTTAAGTGGTATTACTCCAGTTACTAAAGTTACATTGGAAATACAGTACTGTATGTAGGGAAAAGATGTTTACTTCGCCAGATATGAAAGTACAGCACTGTGATGAGTTGCTAGGACATTATAGTATAGAAACACCCATTTACAGTGGACCCTCAGTTATTGGCCGTTCCTGTTATCGGCCAACTCGGTGATCGTCCAGTTTATCGGCTCCTGGTGATCGGCCATTATTTCAGTGATCAGCCATTTCGGACGCATCCGTCCGCCGGCTGGGGCCACTTGCACATCAGTTTGGCTGTATCTTTCGGTGTGCGAGGAAGCTTCTGTTCATACATCCAAACATTTTGCTTGTTTTCCATTGTTTTTTTGTTTTTTTTTTTACAGTGCAACTGCGAAATAAGTAACCATGGCTCCAAAGAAAGTTCCTAGTAAAGTTCCTGTGATAAAGAAAGCGAGAAACACCATGGAATTTAAGCATGAAGTGTAGCAGGCATGCAGAGAATGTAGCAGGCATACAAGGAGTGTAGCAGGGTGGCAGGGAGTGTAGCAGGGTGGCAGGGAGTGTAGCAGGGTGGCAGGGAGTGTAGCAGGCATGCAGGGAGTGTAGCAGGCATGCAGGGAGTGTAGCAGGCATACAGGAAGTGTAATAGGCATGCAAGGAGTGTAACAGGCATGCAGGGAGTGTAGCAGGGATGCAGGAGTGTAGCAGGCATACAGGAAGTGTAGCATGCATGCAGGAAGTGTAGCAGGCATGCAGCAAGTGTAGCAGGTATGCATGGAGTGTAGCAGGCATACAGGAAGTGTAGCATGCATGCAGGAAGTGTAGCAGGCATGCAGCAAGTGTAGCAGGCATGCATGGAGTGTAGCAGGCATGCAGGGAGTGTAGCAGGCATGCAAGGAGTGTAACAGGCATGCAGGGAGTGTAGCAGGCATTCCAGAAGCCAGCATTAGTCTTCAATAAAGGTATGTAATACAGTGGAACCTCAAAAATCGAACTGCTCCCAACACGACCAATTATGCAAGTGTATTTTTGTAAGTGCTTTTATAAGTGTATTTTTGAGGGTCTGAAATGGACTAATCTAATTTATATTATTCCTGATGGGAATAAATTCATTCGGTAAAGGCACTCGAACAGCCTTCTGGACCGAAGAAAGTTCGATATTTGAGGTTCCACTGTACTGATTTAATTGTTAAAAAAAAAACTTTTTTTTGTGAGAATATTTTTGTCTGGAACTGATTAATTATATTTACATAAATTCTTATGTGAAATATTATTTTGGTTTTCAGCCATTTCGGTTTTAGGCCGAGCTTCTGGAACAGATTACGGCCAATAACCAAGGGTCCACCATACTTAAAATTTATTAATATCATGCTTTTGCATTTTAGTTAAATAAGTTTGAATAATTTGGCACCTATGAATTAAAATTTTCACATGTTTATTACACTATAAAATGTCTAATCCTCATGTTTTTACCCATTAAGATCCTGATTTTATGTTAAATAAATACAGAACATATATTATTTTAGTGACATAATTTAAGCTGTTATAACCAAAGGACTATGAAATAATTTAATAGGGCTTAGTTTTAATTGTGATTTTTGCAGTTTCCTCTTCATTCTAATGTGAGTGATATTTCTCTCTGGTATATTTCTTTGTATACTGGTATTGGTGATATTACTTTCCAGTGTGTTACTTTGCATACTGATGTTGGTGATATTACTTTCCAGTGTGTTACTTTTGTTTCTGATGTTAATAATATTTCTTTGCAGAGTGTTACTTTGCATACCGATGTTGGTGATATCAAGATTGAGTTATTTTGTGAACACTGTCCCAAGAGCTGTGAAAACTTTCTAGCTTTGTGTGCTTCTAATTATTATGATGGCTGCCTCTTCCATCGTAACATAAAGGTCATTGTCCTAGACCTGGATAAAAATGGTTTGAAACTTTTTTTTTTTTTTTAAGCTGCATTCTTCTTTTGGATAATATAGTCATTGATTGGCTTATTGAACTCAGAATATCTGAGATAAACACTAAAAGTCACATTGCTTATTTACTGAAATTTCTTTTACATTTTCTTTGTGTGTAAAATATTACGTCAACAACAATTAGAAACATGGATAGTTCAAAATGTACATGTATGGTATTAAGACACCTGTGCAACATATGGGTATCTTTATTGTAGACGTTTTGCCATCCAGTGGTTTTATCAATACAAATTACAGGACATAATTTGAAGACAGTAGAACTATTACAGAAGTTGAGGTAATCAGTCCCTCAGCCTTGGAGTTGGTGCGAAGAGCACCGTAGTCGTGGATGTTCTGGAGCAGAGGCAAGGAGCCTGGCGCTTATATACTAATGTCAGGTGGAAAGGGGACGTGTAGCAGATGAGGGCATAGTAGGTGGGATTCCCCAGTGGAAGTCCTGCCCAAAGAGATGGGTCAGTTGTAGTAGTAGTTGTCGTAGCCGTGAAGAAGGTTATGTTCATGTCCTCAGAATCAAGATTCCATGATGTTGCAGTGTCTGACAAGTTGTACAAAAATGGTATACAATATCAACAAGATGAAAACTGAGACACAGGTGCAACATCTGGGTATCTTTATTGTAGACGTTTTGCCATCCAGTGTCTTTATCAGTGCAAAATTCCAGGACGTAATTTGAAGACAGAAGAACTATATACGTCTGCTACATATCCCCTTTCCACCTGACGTTAGTATATAAGCACCAGGCTCCTTGCCTCTTCTCCCGAAGGAACACTGCAACAGACCTACTAACCCATGTGGAGCAGGTAACATCCACGACTACGGTGCTCTTCGCACCAACTCCAAGGCTGAGGGACTAATTACCTAAACTTCTGTATATAGTCCTACTGTCTTCAAATTATGTCCTGGAATTTGTATTGATAAAGCCACTGGATGGCGAAACGTCTACAATAAAGATACCCAGATGTTGCACGTGTCTTAATTTCATCTTGTCGGTATTGTATACCATTCTTGTACAACATGTATGGTAGTTAAAGATAAACTGTAAAGTTGTAATATTTGTTGGTACAATTTGAAGTCAGATCAAGAGATGAAGTCTTGCTCTCATCAAGGACAGGAAGTGGTTGCTCTGCATTGCCTCTGCCATTAATCAAATTACAGTAGCAATAAATACTTATAAGGAATAAAACCATGATGGCTATGCCTAATTGTGAGAATGAGTCTCTTAGGTACTGTATCTACCTGTTGATTCTTGGCCCTTGATGTTGGTGAGGGGCTCTTGATTTAGGGAACTGGATCTGTGCTCCAGTTCCCTGAATTAAGCCTGAATGCCTTCCACATCCCCCCCAGGCGCTGTATAATCCTACGGGTTTAGCGCTTCCCCTTGATTATAATAATGTTGATTTTTGGGGGCCATTGCTCCTACAGCCTGATCACTGACCAGGCCTCCTGGTTGATGACCTGTTTAGTTAGGCTGTCTGTGCTAGCATCATGCAGTCCAAGATAGAACCCTCAGCCTGCTAGTGCTAAGTATCATATAAAAGTTATTATGGCACAGATGAAAGTTCGTACTTTGTAGTAAAGGTAATTAAGGTAGAGATGAAGGTAGATAAAAGCACATATTGGTGGCACTATTATGAACACTATGAGGTAAAAGTTACTTGAGGACTTATTCTAATTAATGTCTTCCAAATGAAACAATTTTTAATAATTGAGACAACATATTACTGTAGATATCTATATGAATAGGAGCAAGGGGCTAGTAACCCCTTCTCCTGTATATATTACTAAATGTAAAAGGAGAAACTTTCGTTTTTCCTTTTGGGCCACCCCGCCTCGGTGGGATATGGCCGGTGTGTTGAAAGAAAGATCTATATGAATATGTTATATTTTTAGGGTTTTATGATCCAGACTGGTGACCCAACTGGGACAGGGAAGGGAGGTCAGTCAATATGGGGACAAAAATTTGAAGATGAAGTAAGAGATGATTTAAAGGTAAGGTTTTAACTACCAGGTAGGTGTTACGATACGTATTTGTTATCATTGCATTAACAGATACAGTAGTATGTGACTTACATGTCTGTATGATTGATATGCATTTTAGTTCAATGACTGCTTAGGTTTCTCTAGAAGTTCCCCAACTTATAAATGAATTACATTCATAGCTTATTTAGAAATTGATAAGTTGCTTGTATAGAAAACAATAATACCTACTAAGAGTGATCTTGTTTCACTTGTTCCTCTTGTTGCTCAGCAGCAGTGAAACTACAGTACAGTAAACCCTATATTCAACAGACCTCCATTAAACAGAATTTAGAAATTATTATTTTATTTTATTAAACACATCAGCCGATTCCCACCAAGGCAGGGTGGTCCGAAAAGAAAAACTCATCATCATTCACTCCATCACTGTCTTGCCATGAGGGGTGCTTTACACTACAGTTATAAAACTGCAACATTAACACCCCTCCTTCAGAGTGCAGACACTGTACTTCCCATCTACAGGACTCAAGTCTGGCCTTCCAGTTTCCTTGAATCTCTTCATAAATGTTTACTTTGCTCACACTCCAACAGCATTGTCAGGTATTAAAAACCATTTGTCTCTATTTCACTCCTATCAAATACGCTAACGCATGCTTGCTGGAAGTCCAAGCCCCTCACACACAAAACCTTTACCTCCTCCCTCCAACCCTTTCCTAGGCCAACCCCTACCCCTGGAACAAAAAACTCTGGGTTTAATGTAACTGATTCTAAGTCTCTTGTTTGTAAGTGTGGATGTGTGTACCTTACAGCATTTCTAAGTTGAAGCCTGTTAAGGATCATTTTACTATGTATTTCTAGCATAGTATTATTTCCTTATACCTGACTTAACACTGCATGAAAATAACAAAAGTTCCCTATTTGGCAACAGATATAAATAACATTGTTAAAATCACCTATTAAATCTTACTTATACGAAATATTCAATAATTAATTATAAATACTCGTGCAGTGTTATTACCACTATAATTCTACCACTCCAAAAAGTGCACCTCATTAATCTGTTATAAAGTCAGTGTAAATTATCTAAAATGAATAAAGTTATATATACTAGGACTAGGGGCTAGTAACCCTTCTCCCGTATAAATTACTAAATTTAAGAGGAACTTTCGTTTTTCTTTTTGAGCCACCCTGCCTTGGTGGGATACGGCTGGTGTGTTGAAAGAAAGAAGACTAGGACTAGAATTAAATACTAATATGTAAGCTTTACAATTACTTTGTTTGAAATTTCTTTTCATAATTATTGGCTTTGTTTTGAACATGCAGTTGTATCAAATTGTATTTTTATTAAAATTGTATCAAATTTGTAACCAAATGAAATGTAAACCTAACTATTGTAACTTCTATATGTCTTCATAAGAAAAGAAGAAGGTCTTGATAAACTACATAGGAAGTGAAGGTGTGAGAAATTATGTGGGTGAATTATCTTGAATTAACCTTTCACTCATATAACTGGGGAGAACTCTTGATACAAAACAAATATTAACTTACTGTTATTGACATATCTGGGAGACATGTGGAACTTTAAGAACAATGAGGTTGCAAACAATGTCCCTCTTTCAATGCCCACAGTCTCAGCTCTCCAACTCACTTTGGGACCCTAGATTAGGAACATATTGTTCCTGAATATTTATTATGAAAATTAAAGCCAGCAAAATTGGCTATTATATATATGTATGTGGATTGCATAAAAAAAAATTATAAAAGAAGCTGTGCGACTTGACAAATAAAGTAATTTATTTAGTTTTTTTACAATAATTAGGGGGGGTTTTTGAGATTTTGGGCTTTGGGGGGATTTTGTGTTTTTTATATGAAAATTCATGACTCCAAAAATCGAAATGAAAACGTTCAAACAAACACACCACGGGGGGGATTGCCCCCGCGGTCAAGGTCTCAAAACCCCAACCTTCGCGTTCCCACGGACCAGCTAGCCACGAAAGATTCGTCCAAACTGTATATTTCTACACCATGGGAAAGGGTTTAGCAAGGCACCCGGACCAAAAATGCAAGTTTTTTACAGCGAATCCCAGCTACCCGTGGCCTGATGAACCCCACTAACGTGACGGTCTGGAGTTTAACTCTTTGACCGGGGGTTCAATCCCGCCCATGGATGGTTGTTTGAACCATGTCATTACGATTTCAATCATTTTGATGGGCATTGAGGGGACTTGAAATAGAGTTCATCAGGGGCCACACTACTGGAGTTTCTCTGTAAAAACTTGCATTTGTGGCACAGTGGTGCCTAGCTAACCTTCCCATGGTGTAGAAATATTCTATTGTACGATCTTATTGTGGCTAGTGGTTCCCTGGCAATGCGACTTCTGGATTTTTGGACTCTCTGACCGCGGGTTCAACCCCCCGGGTATGGTATTAAAATTCTATAAGCAAAATATTGGCAGAAAAAGGGGGGCTGGTGCAAGATGAGTGTGGGGGGGGGGGTTGAAGAGGATTGGGAAAAGTTTTAAAAAAGCAGTATTAGAATGTGGGGGTAGAAGTTTGTGTTATAAGGGTGGGGGCAGAGGAAAGAGGGGGTGATTGGTGGAATGATGAAGTAAAGGGTGTGATAAAAGAAAAAGTTAGCTTATGAAAGGGTTTTTTTAAAGCAGAATGTTTTAAGAAAGTAAGTAATGGGGGAGCAAAAGAAAGGGGAAGAAGTGGTGAAGAGAGCAAAGGAGGCAGATGATAGATGGAGAGGCACGTCAAGAAATTTAATGAAAATAAGAAAAATTTTGGAGTTGAGTTAAGTTAAGAAAGCCTAGAGAACGAATGGATTTGTCAGTTAAAAACAGAGTAGGGAGTTAGTAGATGGGGAATGGAGGTTTTGGGTAGATGGCGAGAATATTTTGAGGAACTTTTAAATGTCGACGAAGAAAGGGAGGCGGTAATTTCATGCACTGGCCAGGGAGGTATACCATCTTTTAGGAGTGAAGAACAGGATGTGAGTGTGGGGGAGGTGCGTGAGACATTACGTAGAATGAAAGGGGGTAAAGCAGCTGGAACTGATGGGATCATGACAGAAATGTTAAAAGCAAGGGGGATATAGTGTTGGAGTGGTTGGTATTTTTGTTTAATAAATGTATGAAAGAGAAGAAGGTACCTAGGGATAGGCAGAAAGCATGTATAGTCCCTTTATGTAAAGGGAAGGGGGACAAAAGAGATTGTTAAAATTATAGAGGAATAAGTTTACTGAGTATACCAGGAAAAGTGTACAGTAGGGTTATAATTAAAAGAATTAGAGGTAAGACAGAATGTAGGATTGCGGATGAGCAAGGAGGTTTCAGAGTGGGTAGGGGATGTGTAGATCAAGTGTTTACATTGAAGCATATATGTGAACAGTATTTAGATAAAGGAGGGAAGTTTTTTTTTGCATTTGGATTAAAAAGGCATATGATAGAGTGGATAGGGGAGCAATGTGGGAGATGTTGCAAGTATATGGAATAGGGGGTAAGTTTCTAAATGCTGTAAAGAGTTTTTATGAGGATAGTGAGGCTCAGATTAGGGTTGTAAAGAGTGGGAGAATACTTCCCGGTAAAAGTAGGTCTTAGACAGGGATGTGTAATGTCATCATGGTTGTTTATTATATTTATAGATGGGGTTGTAAAAGATGTAAGTGCTAGGATGTTCAGGAGAGGGGGGATTTAAATTATGGTAATTAACCCTTAAACTGTCCAAACGTAGATCTTACGTTTTTTCAAAATTTGAAAGTATGTAAAAAAAAGTAGATCTTTTTTTTTTTTACATTTGAAAACATGTAAAAAACTTTGATCTGTTTTTTTTTTTTTCTTGTTATGTTTGAAAATATGTAAAAAAAAAAGTAGATCTACTTTTGGGCCCACGCACGTGAGCGTAGATCTGCTTGGACAGTTTAAGGGTTAAATACAAAATGGGAATTGACACAGTTGCTTTTTGCTGATGATACTGTGCAAAGGTTAGTGGGTGAGTTTGGGAGAGTGTGTAAAGGTAGAAAGTTGAAAGTGAACCTAGAAAAGAGTAAGGTGATGAGGGTATCAAATGATTTAGATAAAGAAAAATTGGATATCAAATTGGGAGGGGGAGTATGGAAGAAGTGAATTTTTTTCAGATACTTGGGCGTTGACGTGTCGGCAGATGGATTTATGAAGGATGAGGTTAATCATAGAATTGATGAGGGAAAAAAGGTGAGTGGTGCGTTGAGTATATGTGGAGACAAAAAACGTTATCTATGGAGGCAAAGAAGGGAATGTATGAAGTATAATAGTACCAACACTCTTAATGGGTGTGAAGCTTGGTTGTGAATGCAGCAGCGAGGAGGCAGTTGGAGGCAGTGGAGATGTCCTGTCTAAGGCAAGGGTTGTGGTGAAAATATTAGCAGAAAATTCGGAGTGTGGAAATTAGAAGGTGTGGAGTTAATAAAGTTTTAAAGTCAGAGGGGAAGAGGGGTTGTTGAGGTGGTTTGGCCCATTTAGAGAGAATGGACAAAGTAGAATGACATGGAAGCATAAAATTATAGGGAAGGAAGGCGGGTAGGGGTCGTCCTCGAAAGGGTTGAGAGAGGGGTAAAGGAGGTTTTGTGGGCAAGGGGCTTAGACTTCCAGCAAGCGTGCGTGAGAAAGTTAGATAGGAGTGAATGGAGACGAATGGTACTTGGGACCTGACGATCTGTTGGAGGGGTGAGCAGGGTAAAATTTTAGTGAAAGGATTCAGGAAACCGGTTATTTTCATATAGTCGGACTTGAGTCCTGAAAGGGGAAGTGCAATGCCTGCACTTTTAAAGGCGGGGTTTGGGATATGGCAGTTTGGAGGGATATGTTGTGTATCTTTATATGTGTATGCTTCTAAACTGTTGTATTCTGAGCACCTCTGCAAAAACAGTGATAATGTGCGAGTGTGGTGAAATTTGTTGAATGATGAAAGTTTTTTCTTTTTGGGGTTTTTCTTTCTTTTTTTTGGGTCACCCTGCCTGGGTGGGAGACGACCGACTTGTTGAAAAAAAAAAAAAAGATTTTTTGACATGTTTTTTTACTCTAATGTTATGGTTTTAGTCACTGGTTTGCTTGTTATTTAATCTAATGTTGTGGTTTTAGTCACTGGGTTTGCTTTTCAGCATTCTTCTCGAGGCACCGTGTCCATGGCTAACAGTTTGGGCCCAACACTAATGGCTCACAGTTCTTCATCTCATATTGTCCACAACCACACCTTGATCTCAAATATACAGTTTTTGGAAAGTAAGTTTTAAATTTTATGTATTTATATTATCTATATGGTATTTTCAGTTTCTCAAGACATACAGTAGTATGCTATTAATTGGGACAGTGATGAAATAGGGCATTTATTTGGAAAATTAATGTTTATTTGAAAAATAATTGCAGTGATATGACTAATAATTGATTTGATAAAGATAAAGACACCCTTTACTTTTACGTATAAGCATTGCACATGCTTTGGCATAAAATTGACCAATGTTGAATACATTTTGGGGAAGTTCTTTATCAAAGTATACTAGGTCCTAATAACAGCAGCAGTTAAACTTCTCCATAATTGAACTGTCCTGTTTTGGGGATCCTGCTTTAGTTTTTAAATCATTAATTCTGAATTGGGTTGAGGTTAAGAGAGTGTCCAGGCCAATTTAGAACTCTGAGCTCACTCTCTTCAAAGAATGTCAGCATTTTTCTGACTGGTGCTCCCACAAAAATATTAAGTGATCCCAGATTTTTTTTAATACATGCACACTGAGTGTTAAGACCTGGGAAAGGATTAATTATACAGTGGATCCCCGGTTTAACGATATTTTTTTCACTCCAGAAGTATGTTCAGGGCCAGTACTGACCGAATTTGTTCCCATAAGGGAAAATTGTGAAGTAATTAGTCCATTTCAGACCCCCAAACATACACGTACAAACGCACTTACATAAAAAACACTTACATAAATTTGGGCGCATTTGGAGGTGATCGTTATGCGGGGGGGCCACTGTATTTCCATTATTTCTTATGAAAATTGCTTCGCTTTTCACATTTTTTTGGGAAATTTTGAACTAACTCCTGGAACGGGTTAAGTTCGATATTTGAGGTTCCACTGTATATATATACAGTGGGCCCCCCCGGGTTTAACGATATTTTTTCATTCCAGAAGTATGTTCAGGTGCCAGTACTGACCGAATTTGTTCCCATAAGGAATATTGTGAAGTAGATCAGTCCATTTCAGACCCCCAAACATACACGTACAAACGCACTTACATAAATACACTTACATAATTGGTCGCATTGGGAGGTGATCTTTAACCCTTTCAGGGTCCAAGGCCCAAATCTGGAGTCACGCACCAGTGTCCAAGAATTTAAAAAAAAAAAAAAAAAAAATTTGTTATTTTTTCTTATGAAATCGTAGAGAATCTTTTTGTGAAGGTAATAAAACAAAAAGTACGAAATTTGGTGGAAAATTGACGAAATTATGCTCTTGCGAATTTTGATGTGTCAGCGATATTTACGAATCGGCGATTTTGCCGACTTTGACTCCTATTTTAGGCCAATTACATTATTACAATCAACCAAATTCTTAGCTATTTCACTAGTATTACTTCTATTCTATCGATTGAGCACAAGAAATCGCCAAGTCAACTGTTTCAACTACAAAATAAAGTGATCGGAAATTGTTAATTTGGCCAATTTAACACAAAGTTCAAAATATTCCAATTTCAAAATAGGGTCCAGAATGAACAATATAGGCATTCCTGGCACTAAACTAACATTTCCTCTGTTCATTAGTTATGTTTTGAGGCTTTACAAATAAATTCCATTTGATTTTTTATTCACATAATGAATTTTTATTCACACCAAAAAATAGAAGATTTACTGTTATGCAATACTGTAATAATTGTATAAATATCATCACCATATTTGTGAATGTATATTAGACCCACCAGCTGATGTGTATTAGACGTGTGAGGTCGTTTGTTTACTCTTGAATATCGGCAAAAATTTAACATTTCCGCTACTTTGAGCTCAGTTTCAAGCCATTTCCAATGCTAAAACCAATCAAAATCATCTCTATTTCTGTAATATGTCTTCCATTCTATCAAATGAGACCAAGAAATCGCAAATACAACTATAAGAAACATACGAAAAAACACTGCAAAGTTGCTGTTTTAATCGAAAAATCATGATTTCATTTTTTTTCTCTCATTATACACAGTGTGCTGCAGGATCTGTTTTATGTGGTGCACACATACCACATAGATGTATTCTCTCATATCTAGGCCCAAATGTACCACTCACAGTTTATCAGAGTGAGCTGAGCTCATGGCGTAGATCTACGGTTTGGACCCTGAACATAAAGCCGTAGATCTACGGGACGGACCCTGAAAGGGTTAAGCGGGGGTCCACTGTATATATGTTTAGACCATTTATGGGTCAATGATGATTTATAACATTTATTGACACATGCAAAATATGAAAATGAACCATCTCAATACTTCCCAAATGAAACCTAGAAAACCAATTCCTTAGCTTTGAATCTGTTTGTAGTAAATATTTAAAATGTCACCCTGCCTCGGTGGGAAACGACCGATGTGTCAAAAAAAAAAAATAACAATGTTCCTGAAAATTGCCATGACTTGATCAAGAGTGAGTAAAAGACTGACCAGGCAGTGCAAAATGCCCCCAATGAAAAGTAGGGGCGCCATTGGTATACTAAGAGAAAACACTAGGTGTCTGGGGCCCAAGAGTGTTCAACATCCTCCCGCCATGCATAAGGGAAATTACCAGTAGGCCTCTGGCCTTGAGGACATTGTTTTTCCTGAACACTCTGGGAGTTTCAGAGTGATACACCAATAAAGGCTTCACTTTGCAATCACCACTAGCAATAGCACACATCAACAGAGTAAGCCTGTCTTTCATAGGCTTATGTCCTGGGAGTGCCTTTTCCTCCTGAGTAATGTAGGTCCTGCTTGGCATTTTCTTCCAAAACAGGCCTGTTTCGTCACAATTAAACACTTGTTCAGGTTTCAATTCTTCACTGTCTATGTACTCCTTGAATTCCTTCACATATTTTTCAGCTGCTTTTTGGTCTGAACTGGCAGCCTCACCATGCTTTATCACACTATGTATGCCACTACGATTTTTAAATCTCTCAAACCAACCTTTGCTGGCCTTAAATTCACTCAGATCACCACTAGTTGCAGGCATTTTTCTAATTAAATCATCATGCAACTTCCTAGCCTTTTCACATATGATCGCTTGAGAGATGCTATCTCCTGCTATCTGTTTTTCGTTTATCCACACCAATAACAGTCTCTCAACATCTTCTATCACTTGCGATCTCTGTTTCGAAAACAAAGTTGCACCTTTGGCAAGAACAGCTTCCTTGATTGCCGTTTTCTTGGCCACAATAGTAGCCGATGGTTGATTGGGGTTTTGTGTACAACCTGGCCAGCTCGGAGACACACACTCCACTTTCATACTTAGCAATGATCTCTTTCTTCATATCCATAGTAACTCTCACCCTTTTTGCTGTAGGGTTGGCAGTAGAAGCTTTCTTGGGGCCCATGGTGACTTATTTTGAAGGTGTAATCACTAGAAACACTGTGATAATATGAAATGTTCCGATTGTATGTTTGGATGCGACCGCGGTGGCTGGCTTGTAAACACTGGCACCCACGGGACAAGTGAGGTGCGCTCAGGCCACACTTGGACACGTCTCAAATGAATCGCTTTGAGTGAGTTTTTTAGCGCTAGCCGAGGCAAAATTTTTGCATTAAAATGTATCGCTAGGCGGATTTAACGTTATGCGATGTGTTCGTTAGGCGAGGGTAGTGAACGTATATATACGTTTGGACCGTTTACGGGTTAAATGTGACTTATGAGGTACTTTCAGCTATAAATGTATTTAGTGTAAGGAATATATACCGATTCTTCTTCTTAATCATGAATAGTTAATAACAGCATCTAGGTATGCCATTACACACACTGTGGTACCTTGATATTCGAACTTAATCCATTTCAGGAGGCTGTTTGAATAGTGAGTTGTACGAATGTTGAATAAATTTTTTCCATAAGAAATAATGTAAATTGTATTTATCTGCTCCAGACCCCCCAAAAAAACTAATTATAAAACATTGTAAGTGAAAATACAGTGGTCCCTCGCTTTTCGTAGTTCCGGCAATCGTAAACTTCGCCAATCATAGGGTTATTTTCATATAAACATGGACTCGCTTTTCGTAAGTTGACTCGCGAGTCGTAATTTATCTGGGACGCGTACCCACGGAGTGAGCCGTGACGGCAGCCAGTCTGGCATTGTTTACCAGTGAGCGAAGGTCCCCTCCAGCGAAATATTTCATAATATTCCATTTATTTTAATGCTTGCAAGTACTAAATAAGCTACCATGGCTCCAAAGAAAGCTCCTAGTGCCAAGCCTGTGGTAAAGAAGGTGAGAAATACGATTGAATTTAAGAAAACCATCATTGAACAATATGAAAGTAGTACAAGTGTGGCCGAACTGTCCAGGATGTATGTATAAGAAACCCTACACAACCTTATGTTCCATAGAGGCCAAGAAAAAGGAAATCAAGGATGCTGTTGTTGCAAAGGGGGTAACTATGCTGACAAAAATGAGATCACCAGTACTCGAAGAGGTTGAGAAGTTATCATTGGTGTGGATAAATGAGAAACAATTAGCAGGAGATACTCTTATGACTTCGATTATTTGTGAAAAGGCTAGGCAGTTGCATGACGATTTGGTAAAGAAATTGCCTGCAAATAGTGGTGATGTGAGTGAATTTAAGGCCAGCAAAGGTTGGTTTGAGAGATTTAAGAACCGTACTGGCATACACAGTGTGATAAGGCATGGTGAGGCTGCCAGTTCGGACCACAAGGTGGCTGAAAAATGTGTGCATGAATTCCAGGAGTACATAGAGGCTGAAGGACTGAAACCTGAACAAGTGTTCAATTGTGATGAAACAGGCCTCTTTTGGAAGAAAATGCCAAAAAGGACCTTCATTACACAAGAGGAAAAGGCAATGCCAGGACACAAGCATATGAAAGACAGGCTGATGCTAATGTTCTGTGCTAATGCTAGTGGGAAATTCAAAGTGAAGCCATTACTAGTGTACCATTCTGAAAATCCCAGAGTGTTCAGGAAAAACAATGTTATGAAGAGTAAATTGTGTGTGTTTTGGAAATCTAATAGTAAGGCATGGGTCATGAGGGAAATTTTCGTCGAGTGGTTCAATGAAGTGTTTGGCCCTAGTGTGAAGGAGTATCTCCTGGAAAAGAAATTGGATCTCAAGTGCCTGCTAGTAATGGACAATGCACCTGCTCATCCTCCAAACTTGGATGACCTAATTTTCGAGGAGTTTGGGTTCATCACAGTAAAGTTCTTGCCCCTGAATACCACTCCTCTCCTCCAGCCCATGGACCAGCAGGTTATTGCAAACTTTAAAAAACTCTACACAAAAGCAATGTTTCACAGGTGCTTGACAATGACCACAGACACTCACTTGACCCTAAGGGAATTTTAGAGAGAACACTTCAGCATCCTCCATTGCATAACCCTTATAGGTATGGCTTGGGAGGGAGTGACTACCAGGACTTTGAACTCTGCCTGGAGAAAATTGTGGCCAGATAATTAAAATGTGGCAAATTACGAAATTAAATGCAGTTTGGCTTAATATCAATAATTATAGTACTATATACATAATAATAGTACATCTTGGATGCACACATAAATTGCCAGTCATTGTTCGTTCTGTTTCGCATGCTCACATGAAGCTGCCACTGTTAGGCAGTGTGTCGACAAGAGGGATTTTGAAGGGTTTGGGACTGACCCTGATGAGCCTATGTCTGTTGTAAAATCAATTGTGGCACTGGGGAGTTTCATGGGGTTGGATGTGAGTTTGGAGGATGTGGAAGAATTGGTGGAAGACCACAACGAAGAGCTCACCACTGAGGAGCAGCAAGAGCTTCAGCAGGAAGAGCAACACATCGCAGCTCAGAATCTTGCTGCAGAGGAGGAGGAAGAGAGATGGAAGAAGGTGCCTTCTTCAGAAATTAAAGAGATTTTTACTATGTGGGGTAAGATGGAAAGCTTTATGGAGAAACATCACCCTAACAAGGTTGTTGCAAGCCATATTGGCAACATGTACAGTGACAAAGTCTTGGGCCATTTTAGGGAAGTGTTAAAGAGACGCCAGAAACAGAGCTCTCTCCACAGTTATTTTGCGAGACAGGACTCCAGTGACTCTCAAGGTGGTCCTAGTGGCATTAAGAAACAGAGAAGACAAGCAACCCCAGAAAAGCAATTGGTACCTGAGGTGTTGCTGGAAGGGGATTCCCCTTCCAAACTATAAACAATCCACTCTCTCTCCTCCTCCAGTCTCCCATACACTAAGAAGAGTCTCCAATAAAGGTAAGTGTTATGCTGTTAATGTTTCATTTATCATTTCCCATTGTATTGTTTATGTACTACATGTATATTTCATGTAAAAAAAATTTTTTGTTTTAATACTTCTGGGTGTCAGGAACGGATTAATTGTATTTACATTATTTCTTATGGGGAAAATTGATTAGCAAATCATAAATTTCATTTATAGTAGCAGCTCCAGGAACGGATTAATTACGAAAATCGAGGGACCACTGTACTGTTTATTTAAACTTGTGTAATAATATTTGCATGAATAAAATCGTACGGTGGAACCTTGGTTGTCGAATTTAATTTGTTCCAGATGTCGTTTCGACAACCAAAATGGATGACAACCAAGGCAGTTTTTCCCATAAAGAATAATGTAAATAGAATTAATCACTTCCAGACCCCAAATGACAATATAATAATTTATTAAAAATGTACTAACTACTACATAAAACTGTAAAAATGAATACTAAAAGAAACTTTAACTGAAATACTACAGTAAATTAAAATTTAACTGCCTCTTACGTGTCAGAGGAGAGCTAATGCCATACTGGAAACAGGAGGTGGAGGAGAGGAGGGGAGGGGGGGGGTATGTTACTGCTTGGAAGGAGTCACTCTGTTAATATGTCAGGCAATTGTCCCTCTGGTGTTGTTTCTCTTTTTGTCTCTTTTTCACCACTAACACCTTGTTCTGGCTCACTGCTTCTTTGTCTCACTATAAACCTGTCCAGTGAGGTTTGTTTCAGGCTCCATTTTAACACTTGTCTAAATTGAGACATTACACTTGTCATTGTACATGTTAGAGATGGATGGCCACTGCTTTGTCTGGATGGTATTTTTCAGCAAACTCCTGCACTTCATGCAGTTCAGCACATATTTCCTTGACTAGTGCAATGGGCACATCATCCCTTCCCTCAGTGAGTTGTACAAATATATGGACATACAAATGTTGAGGTTCCACTGTATTTGAGTATGCAAAAGTATATAGTACATACTATGAAAACATATTTGATTAATTTCTAAACTGGTAACTCTTCACAGTCTAGATGGTCCTGTAACTATTATTGTCAATACCAAGATCAAAATTCATATTGTGATCGAACAGTCCAACCTTTAACCCTTTGACTGTTTGGGTCGTATATATATGTCTTACGCGCCACTGTTTCGGATGTATTTAAACACGTAAATTCTAGCGGCTTCAAATCAAGCAGGAGAAAGCTGGTAGGTCCACATGTGAGAGAATGGGTCTGTGTGATCAGTGTGCACCACATAAAAAAAAATCCTGCAGTACGCAGTGCATAATGAGAAAAAAAAATCTGACCGTTTTTTTGGATTAAAATGCCGACTTTGAGGTGTATTTTCGTATAGTGTTTATCGTTGTATTCTCGTTTTCATGGTCTCGCATGATCAAATGGAAAACATATTACAGAAATAGAGATGATTTTGATTAGTTTCACAATGAAAACGACCTTGAAATTGAGCTCAAAGTAGCGGAAATATTCAATTTTTACCAATGTTCAGGAGTAAGCAAATCACACCACACATCCAATACACATCAACTGGGGAGTCTAATATTCTTTCACTAGTGCACTGATATTATTTATATCATTTTTACAATAATGCAGTAGTCTGCATAACAGTAAATTTTGTATTTTTTGTTTGAATAAAAAATAAAAATAGAAAGCAATAGTAATATAAGAGGGGGCTTGAGACATAACTAATGAATAGAGGATGTGTTATTTTAGTGCCAAGAATGTCTACATTGTTTATTCTGGACCCCATTTTGAAATTGGCATCTTTTTTAATTTGTGCAAAATTGGCCAAATTGCCAGTTTCTGACCACGTTATTGGGTAGTTTAAATTGGTAAATGGGTGGTTTCTTATACTCAACTGATAGAAAAAATGGAGTTCTAAAGAAATAGCTATGAGTTTGGTCAACTGGTTCAATGGAACTGGTTAAAAACAGGGCTCAAAGTCGGCAAAATCGCCAATGCGTATATGTTGCCGAGACCGCTAACTTCGCGGGAGCATAATTCCGTGAGTTTTCGACCAAATTTCGTACGTTTGGTGTCATTACCACTGGGAAAAGATTTTCTATCATTTCATAAGTTTTTTTTTTTTTTTTCCAAAAAATTTTGCGACATAGAATGACAGTTTCAGAAAGGGGCTTGCAACAGTCAAAGGGTTAATTACGTCCCACTTTGTGATTTGATAGTTGACACCAATTTAATCCATCATCTGTGAACTTTCCCCCCACCTCCCTTTGTATTTTCTGCTTATGTCCTCTCAACACTACCTCTTTTCCCTACCCCAATCACCTTTCACTGAATAATTTTTACCAGCTTTGTCCTTTCCATAGATATACTCTAATAATAAGTCACATTATATGTATTGAATTAAGGTAATTTTAAACTATTGTTTATCGTACAATAGGTTAATGTTATAACCTAATTATATGAAGATTTGAGTAAAATGCTTCTACTTTCATGTTTTTTCATTTGTTTTTATATTTCAGAGTTATTGATGGCTTAGAAGTTCTTGATGAGCTGGAGAAGTTACCTGTGAATCCCAAGAACTACAAGCCTACCACTGAAACCAGAATAAATTATGTCACTATCCATTCTAATCCCATAGCAGGATAATTACTGCAGGTTTAATAATATTTTATAGTGATAAACTTTAATTTAAAAGATACAGTGGTACCTTGGTATATGTCCGCATTGGAATAAGTCCAGCTTGGTATGCTTCCTGTTTGCAGACGAAAATTTTTGCTGGTATACGACCTTTGTTTGGAATGTGACTCGCGTGCTAGAACTTGTATGGGTCAAAATGATAAAGATGCCACCAGTGATTTTGTTACAGAGTTTGGGGAATTTGTGGAGGCTGAGGGTTTTGTTCCCCAACAAGTTTTTAATTGTGATGAAACAGGCCTGTTTTGGAAGAAAATGCCTAACAGGACCTATATTCTAGAAGAGGAGAAGGCATTACCAGGACACAAGCCAATGAAGGATAGGTTAACACTCTTGCTCTGTGCCAGTGAAAGTGGGGATTGCAAACTGAAGCCTCTACTGATCTACCACTCTGAAAACCTGAGGACCTTTACAATGTGCAGAAAACTCAGTTACCTGTGATGTGGAAGTCAAGCAGCAAAGCTTGGGTAGCCAGAGAATATTTCAGCGAATGGTTTAATGTTGTGTTTGGGCTAAGTGTAAAAAGTTATTTGGAGGAGAAAAACCTGCCTCTGAAGGCCCTCCTCATAATGGACACCCTCCAGCTCACCCTCCAAGCTTGCAGGACTGTGTGCTGCCAGAATTTGACTTCATCACTGTAAAGTTTCTTCCCCTAACACGACTCCTCTCATTCAGCCCATGGATCAGCAGGTCATCAATAATTTCAAGAAACTCTACACTAAAGCACTATTCCAGAGGTGCTTTGAAGTGACCTCTGACACAGTTAACCCTGAGAGAGTTTTGGAAAGATCACTTTACAAACGCCCATTGCATAACTCTCATTGACAAAGCCTGGCAGGAAGTTTCGTACAGAACAATGAACTCTGCTTGGAGGAATTTGTGGCCAGAAGCAGTGGCTGAAAGGGACTCTGAGGGCTTCGAGGCTGTGTGTATAGTGGAGGATATTTTCTCTCTGGGCAGGTCCATGGGTCTGGATGTGAGTGATGGTGATGTGGAGGAGTTAGTGGAGGGGCACAGGGAAGAGCTGACCACTGAGGAGCTGCAGGAACTTGAGAAGGAGGAGCACAAGTCTAAGATGAATGCACTCTCTTCAGGCTAGGAAGAGGAGATAGAGGAAGCCCCTACTTCATTAATCAAGGAAATCTTTGCTAAATGGATGGACGTCAAAAACTTTTGCAGAGAAGTACCACCCCAACAAAGCCCAAACAAACCGTAATAGCATTGTCTGGAATGGCCAGACAATGGCTCATTTCTGAAACATCCTGAGGAGAAGGCAGAAGCAAAGTTCTTTGGACAGAATTTTAATAAAAGTCAAACCTGGTGAGCTTCAACCAGGTCCAAATAGGGAAAAGAGACAGAAAAGAGAAGGAGACTCTCCTTCCAAACAATAACATTTCCTCCTCCTTCCTTCTCAGCACTATTCTAGTAGGCACTCTTCAGCCCTTTCTACCTCAATCTCTTGCTACCCTCTACCCCCGCACTATCCCCTGCCCCGCTGTTTTCTGTAACCTACTGATCATCCCTCCCTCCTTCTGCCGCCCAATGCCCTCACTTCCTTCCCTACCCTGCAGCACTGTATAGCCCTTGTGGCTTAGCACTTCTTTTTGATTATAATAATAATAATAATCTAGTAGGCACTCAACTTTTTTCAGCAAAGTAAAGCGAGGTTAAATTTGTATTTATTTCATCTAATTCTTTTGTATTTATGTATGTATTTTAGTATTAAACAGATTTTCTTTCTTTTTGGGTCACCCTGCCTCGGTGGGAGATGGCCGACTTGTTAAAAAAAAAAAATTTTTAGTATTAAGCAGTTTAAATTTTTTTATACAACCCAATCAATGTATAATATGCCAGTAACAAGAGAACTTTTTTTCATGGAAACGGATTAATCGTTTTCCCTATATTTCTTATGGGAAAATTCGTTTGGTATACATCCTTTTTGGTATAAGTCCAAAGTTCTGGAACAGATTAAGGACGTATACCGAGGTACCACTGTACTTTTATCTTTACAGTAATCAGGAAAATGGAAAGTATACAGAAATTATAAGTATATTGGTATGCATACTTGAAGAAGGATGGCTGAAGGACATTTCTAGGGGTCAGTGCCTCTTCAGCCCAGTATCAGACCGTTAATCATGGTACTATGTGTACAGTCTTGTGTAATAAAGTATGCGTAATAAAATGAATATTTCAGTGAATGCCAAAATTGTGAATTAGTATTTGACACTTTATTTAAGTACTTGGTAACGTATGTGCTGTAATGTGAATGTTTCTTACTATAATAGTATCTGGGAGCAAGGGGCTAGTAACCCCTTGCTTTGCTTTTTGGGCCACCCTGCTTTGGTGGGATATGGACGGTTTGTTGAAAGAAGAATATATACACATCCTAGGTAGTAGGTTGGTAGACAGCACCACCCAGGGAGGTTCTACTGTTTTGCCAAGTGAGTGTAAAACATGATGGTAGGATTACCTTTTTTTTTTTTTTCTCAAACATGCAAGATTTCAGGTACGTCTTGCTACTTCTACTTACGCTTAGGTCACACTACACATGCGTGTACAAGCATATATATATATATATATATATATATATATATATATATATATATATATATATTATATATATATATATATATTATATATATATATATATATATATATATATATATATATATATATATATATTTTTTTTTTTTTTTTTTTTTTTTTCAACAAGTCGGCCGTCTCCCACCGAGGCAGGGTGACCCAAAAAAAGAAAGAAAATCCCCAAAAAGAAAATACTTTCATCATCATTCAACACTTTCACCACACTCACACATTATCACTGCTTTTGCAGAGGTGCTCAGAATACAACAGTTTAGAAGCATATATGTATAGAGATACACAACATATCCCTCCAAACTGCCAATATCCCAAACCCCTCCTTTAAAGTGCAGGCATTGTACTTCCCATTTCCAGGACTCAAGTCCGACTATATGAAAATAACCGGTTTCCCTGAATCCCTTCACTAAATATTACCCTGCTCACACTCCAACAGATCGTCAGGTCCCAAGTATCATCGTCTCCATTCACTCCTATCTAACACGCTCACGCACGCTTGCTGGAAGTCCAAGCCCCTCACCCACAAACCTCCTTTACCCCCTACTTTCCAACCCTTTCGAGGACGACCCCTACCCCTCTTTCCTTCCCCTATAGATTTATATGCTTTCCATGTCATTCTACTTTGATCCATTCTCTCTAAATGACCAAACCACCTCAACAACCCCTCTTCTGCCCTCTGACTAATGCTTTTATTAACTCCACACCTTCTCCTAATTTCCACACTCCGAATTTTCTGCATAATATTTACACCACACATTGCCTTAGACAGGACATCTCCACTGCCTCCAACCGTCTCCTCGCTGCTGCATTTACCACCCAAGCTTCACATCCATATAAGAGTGTTGGTACTACTATACTTTCATACATTCCCTTCTTTGCCTCCATAGATAACGTTTTTTGACTCCACATATACCTCAACGCACCACTCACCTTTTTTCCCTCATCAATTCTATGATTAACCTCATCCTTCATAAATCCATCCGCCGACACGTCAACTCCCAAGTATCTGAAAACATTCACTTCTTCCATACTCCTCCTCCCCAATTTGATATCCAATTTTTCTTTATCTAAATCATTTGATACCCTCATCACCTTACTCTTTTCTATGTTCACTTTCAACTTTCTACCTTTACACACATTCTCAAACTCATCCACTAACCTTTGTAATTTTTCTTTAGAATCTCCCATAAGCACAGTATCATCAGCAAAAAGTAACTGTGTCATTTCCCATTTTGAATTTGATTCCCCATAATTTAATCCCACCCCTCTCCTGAACACCCTAGCATTTACTTCTTTTACAACCCCATCTATAAATATATTAAACAACCATGGTGACATTACACATCCCTGTCTAAGACCTACTTTTACCGGGAAGTATTCTCCCTCTCTTCTACACACCCTAACCTGAGCCTCACTACCCTCATAAAAGCTCTTTACAGCATTTAGTAACTTACCACCTATTCCATATACTTGCAACATATGCCACATTGCTCCTCTATCCACTCTATCATATACCTTTTCTAAATCCATAAATGCAATAAAAACTTCCCTACCTTTATCTAAATACTGTTCACATATATGCTTCAATGTAAACACTTGATCTACACATCCTCTACCCACTCTGAAGCCTCCTTGCTCATCCGCAATTCTACATTCTGTCTTACCTCTAATTCTTTCAATTATAACTCTAACCGTATACTTTTCCTGTATAACTCAATAAACTTATTCCTCTATAATTTTTACAATCTCTTTTGTCCCCCTTTCCCTTTATATAAAGGGACTATACATGCTCTCTGCCAATCCCTAGGTACCTTCCCCTCTTTCATACATTTATTAAACAAAAGTACCAACCACTCCAACACTATATCCCCCCTGCTTTTAACATTTCTGTCATGATCCCATCAGTTCCAGCTGCTTTACCCCCTTTCATTCTACGTAATGCCTCACGTACCTCCACCACACTTACATTCTGCTTTTCTTCACTCCTAAAAGATGGTATACCTCCCTGGCCAGTGCATGAAATTACCGCCTCCCTTTCTTCCTCAACATTTAAAAGTTCCTCAAAATATTCTCGCCATCTACCTAATACCTCCCTCTCCCCATCTACTAACTTTCTTCTTTCAACACACCGGCTGTATCCCACCGAGGCGGGGTGGCCCAAAAGGAAAAACGAAAGTTTCTCCTTTTGCATTTAGTAATATATACAGGAGAAGAGGTTACTAGCCCCTTGCTCCCGGCATTTTAGTCGCCTCTTACAACACGCATGGCTTACGGAGGAAGAATTCTGTTCCACTTCCCCATGGAGGTAAGAGGAAATAAACAAGAAGAACTAGAAAGAAAATAGAAGAAAACCCAAAGGGGTGTGTATATATATGCTTGTACATGTATGTGTAGTGTGACCTAAGTGTAAGTAGAAGTAGCAAGACGTACCTGAAATCTTGCATGTGTATGAGACAGAAAAAAAAAAGACACCAGCAATCCTACCATCGTGTAAAACAGTTACAGGCTTCAGTTTTACATTCACTTGGCAGGACAGTAGTACCTCCCTGGGCGGTTGCTGTCTACCAACCTACTACCTAAATATAAATATATATATATTTTTTTTTATTTTTTATTATCACACCGGCCGATTCCCACCAAGGCAGGGTGGCCCGAAAAAGAAAAACTTTCACCATCATTCACTCCATCACTGTCTTGCCAGAAGGGTGCTTTACACTACAGTTTTTAAACTGCAACATTAACACCCCTCCTTCAGAGTGCAGGCACTGTACTTCCCATCTCCAGGACTCAAGTCCGGCCTGCCGGTTTCCCTGAATCCCTTCATAAATGTTACTTTGCTCACACTCCAACAGCACGTCAAGTATTAAAAACCATTTGTCTCCATTCACTCCTATCAAACACGCTCACGCATGCCTGCTGGAAGTCCAAGCCCCTCGCACACAAAACCTCCTTTACCCCTCCCTCCAACCCTTCCTAGGCCGACCCCTACCCTGCCTTCCTTCCATACAGACTGATACACTCTTGAAGTCATTCTGTTTCGCTCCATTCTCTCTACATGTCCGAACCACCTCAACAACCCTTCCTCAGCCCTCTGGACAACAGTTTTGGTAATCCCGCACCTCCTCCTAACTTCCAAACTACGAATTCTCTGCATTATAGTCACACCACACATTGCCCTCAGACATGACATCTCCACTGCCTCCAGCCTTCTCCTCGCTGCAACATTCATCACCCACGCTTCACACCCATATAAGAGCGTTGGTAAAACTATACTCTCATACATTCCCCTCTTTGCCTCCAAGGACAAAGTTCTTTTTCTCCACAGACTCCTAAGTGCACCACTCACTCTTTTTCCCTCATCAATTCTATGATTCACCTCATCTTTCATAGACCCATCCGCTGACACGTCCACTCCCAAATATCTGAATACGTTCACCTCCTCCATACTCTCTCCCTCCAATCTGATATTCAATCTTTCCCTCACCTAATCTTTTTGTTATCCTCATAACCTTACTCTTTCCTGTATTCACCTTTAATTTTCTTCTTTTGCACACCCTACCAAATTCATCCACCAATCTCTGCAACTTCTCTTCAGAATCTCCCAAGAGCACAGTGTCATCAGCAAAGAGCAGCTGTGACAACTCCCACTTTGTGTGTGATTCTTTATCTTTTAACTCCACGCCTCTTGCCAAGACCCTCGCATTTACTTCTCTTACAACCCCATCTATAAATATATTAAACAACCACGGTGACATCACACATCCTTGTCTAAGGCCTACTTTTACTGGGAAATAATTTCCCTCTTTCCTACATACTCTAACTTGAGCCTCACTATCCTCGTAAAAACTCTTCACTGCTTTCAGTAACCTACCTCCTACACCATACACTTGCAACATCTGCCACATTGCCCCC